GCACGTTTTTATTTTTATTTTTTTTTTAGAAACAAAGAACAACATTAAAATCTCGGTATCTATATCTATAAAATTTCAATTCAAATATAATAAAAGTTTTAGAATCGCGGTCTTTATATTTGTGCCTTTGAAGAAAAAATATTGAAATTCTTTAAATTGATAATCAATCAATTCATATTATTTTTTTTTTTAAATTACTATGTTTATTTTTTGTAATATGCATAGTAAATAATGAATTAATCTTTAAATATATAATTTATAATCTTAATATACTATCATTTGGTGTAGACATTTATTATATGAATCATAAAATATTTATATTTCATAAAATTAAACACATTTATAGAAAATAAGGAATATCTTTGGATTAATCAGAGATTGAATTATGGTACTGTCCAGGTTGATTGAATCAGTTTTAGGTGATATTTAAAATAGTAAAAAAACTTGACACGACTTGGGTGGTCCCAGGTGACTAAGTTATATATCAGTTTGACCAGAAAAAAACGATTATTAAACCTAAATATAAATTTTAATATTGAAAATACTTTATTACGTAAATGTGATGCAATCCAAACTTCAAATAATCATATTAACAATACTTTTATGACAACATGTTTAATAATTTATAAATATTTCTATATCATTTTAGTAATATTTATGTGAATAAAATAATATGTTATTATAATTTTTACTAATGTACAATAAATATAAGGTTTTCAGAACCGGACCGTCATCGAAACGATCAAGTTATTTTATTAAATCACTTGTGGTTTCTTCGGATTTTAATTTATAAATATTTTAATATACATATATAGGATTTTTTGTAATAAATTTAAATATATATCTAATAATTTATAAATTCAAATGTTTAAATTAATTGATAAACAATTTATAAATCTCTATTTTATTTAAATATGTAATTTTATTTACAATAATTTTAAATGTAGTAAAATTTATTTAGAAAATCGTATCAATCCTACCAGTCCAATCGACTGGTGTTGACGGATTCAATAGCAAATCTTTTATTCAAGCAAATTATAAACCGATTCTCGGTTCATCCGGCCGGTCTGTGTTCAACCCGGTTTAATTTAAAATAATGGGTAGATCATGATCAATGTTACTTATATATTTAATTTATAATACAATCGTAAAATTGTTTTCTCGTGCATCGCACGGAACACGCACTAGTACGCATAAACACGTTTTAATAATTAGGCTGTGAATATGATGTGTTTGTCTATTATAAGAAAGAAGGATACATTTTATTTTATGCGAGCTTCATATTTTTTTTTATTATTATTATTATTTTTTTTTTTTGTAGACAATCACGGTATCCAGAGTTATGCTCCGACTAATCGGTTGGTCAATCCGGGTCGCACACCTGACAGTGGTGGGTGAATCTCCCAACAAGGATTTTCTACATTCACAAGGACTCAAACCAAAGACCATGCTTAAGCGACATCAAGCTGCTTACTTAAGCCAACATGTGTTGGAGAGCTTCATAAATTCAAATTTCTCGTTGGCGAAATTGACAACTTCTATTGCACTATAACTTTTAAAAAAAATCACCAATTTATAAGGCTGACCTAAATTATTGCGTAATTGTAGACGCTCAATACAGTCATACGCTTCTTTTCTCTTTTTCTCTACTAGAAAATATTTGAGACAAGATTTATTTATATTTTTATGTGAATTGAGAAAAATGTACAAGGACGAGAGTGCCCCTTCAAACTAGTCATTTTCTTGCAAAATAATGCGAACAGACAGTAGTAAACTGAACCTCAAGAAGAGCATTCATGGGGACTGCGAAAGTTATCTATCTGCTCTCGCCATTAGTGATGCTTTCATTAGGGCAGCGAACATTGAATGCTGTTTAAGACCTCTGCGGCTTTCCCTTGGCACTTGCTAATTGCTTTTCAAAGACATTTATTTATCAATACTTGGTCATAATCAATTATATATTTCTTGCTTGTGGATTAAATAAAATAAACTGTCCTTATTAATTTTCTTCATTTTAATATCAAATCATGTCCTCAGCACTTCAATACTGTTCTCACTACAAAGTACAAACTCTGATAAGAAAAAAACACTACAAATTATACAGGAACAAAGCAGAGTTTCTTTATCAGATCATGTTTTCTGTCAGTAATGGCTAATAAAAATCAAAGAAAACCATGCAATTATGAAGATCCCAAAACGTTGACACAATTCCATATTCTCTCCTCAAGAGAAAAAAAAAATAGAGAAAAACGAAAAGTTCATGAAGAAGTGAAGCCCGTATTTCAACGAACCTTTATCACCAAGCAAATTTCACGCACTTTTTTTTGGCAATAATTATATAAACAAAAAAGCGCAGATGCACTCAATAAGTACTAGCAAATGGAACGGGGGAGACCAAGAAAAATTGTATGGACTTCAAGTGCAAGGTGGAAGAAAGTAGAAACTAATCATAAATTAAAAAGTACTACATTTTGATTACTGTTTAGAGGTTAAAGATGCAATAGCATCCATTTCTTGCTGCAACAGAAGAGCATCAATAAAAGTGTCGAGACTCTCTCCTTGCATCATACCATCTATCGAGTGGGTAGTGATACCCACACGGTGATCTGTAACACGACCCTGGGGAAAATTGTATGTACGTATGCGTTCTGATCTGTCCCCACTTCCTATCTAGCTCAACAAATCGAGGGAAATAAAAATTATCATAATTCGAAACACAAGATCCAAATAAGATGGTTAGAAAAAGATATATTACTTGCTCTGCTCTAAGTCTCGAACGACTTGCAGCTGCCCTAGTTCGTTCCATCTCATATAATTTTGCACACATTATCTTAAGTGCTTTGGCTTTGTTCTGGCAGAGAAAAAGGATCTTTATTGGTCGAAAAATGAAAAGCCTATTCTTGATGCAACAGAACTATA